TATAAATAGCCTTGCTCTGAGAAATAAAATGATAAAGTTTCACATTTATTATATTAATAAATCAACAGGAGAGAGGAACACTTTGTCAGATGACACGTAACCCTTATTTGGTTCCCTGTACCAGAAAACAGAACGCATGTCAATGTTCTTTATTCTAGTTACAGACTACCTTAACATAAGAGATGCACTCTGCCAAGTTATAAATTAATTTTCTGGCTTATGTAAGATGTAGGAATTTCTTGTACATCCAGTATTACAGTAATGTCATATTCGAATTATTTTTCAATGTTTAATTCATTTTTAGCAGATCTGAAATTTACTATTGCTTTTCCAGAATAGTTATGAATCATAGTTTTCGGCGTAAAATGATCAAGAAGAGAAGTATAAAAAGGTCAGTAAAATTCCACTATGTGAAAAAGTCAGAAAAGTAAAACATGTTCTCTTTATATGTACCTGAGTAGACTGTGTCCTAAGAAACCGATTTATGACGTCTACCTCAAATAAGTAAAAGGATCCATCACCCCTTAGCAACACAGACTAGTTACCACTTGAGAGAAAGTCAAAGGAGGAAGAAAAGTAAAGCAGGATCTACTGAGTCAGGCACTATGTTAGGCACGGTCACACAACTGAATCCTCGCAACAACTCTCAGGTGAACGCTCTCACGTTTTCATAGATGAAAACAATTAAGTTACAGAGGCAAACAGCTTGCCAAATAGCACGAAAAGGAGGCAGAGTAGGGACTCGAGCCTCTCATCTCCAAAGCTATGTGCTTCTCTCCACTTTGAAATGTTTATTCTGGAAGTCTGATGCATAAAAACAGCAAAAATGAAAATACTGGCAACATCATACACTTTTTCAGCATGTTATTACTGTTTTCCTATGACAGTAACAACCAAACTCTCAACATTTTGCTTCAACTTTCAGACTAGGAACCTAATGCGAAACGGCCAAGGCTGGCACTTCTCTTTCATAAGCTGCTCATAATTAATTTTGAATCATGTGCCTTTTGATACTAAAATGAATCAAGCTTGTCAGCTACACCCCAAAAACTTAGTACATGCTCAGGTAAGCATGGAAATATGGGGAAAAAAATGCTCTCCTTTCTCAAAGACATCTTATAATGTCTAATTTGGAAACAAATCTGAAACTGAAGGCATCAAAACAGTTCCATTTTCTTCCTCCTTTCATTATTTAATATTTCAACCCAGAAGCTCCTGAAGCCAGGGGTCTGTGCCCAAAAGGTATGTGTAGGGTGCACACAGCACTGTCCCGGAGAGGGGCTCAGACCAACGTGAGGAAAGGGAAGCCAGCCAAGCAAAGGGGAATAAAATACTAGAGGGTCCGTGTGAGGAAGATGCACTGAACAAGGTGGCAGGCAGCCTGCTGAGGGCAGCAAAGTGATTTCATACAGCAGGACGAGGCAAGTGGGTTAATATATGAGGAATAATAGTAGGCAGGTTTCACACTATCAGAAAAGAGTGCGAAAAATGAAAAGGCAGAAAGCCAGAATAAACCTTATGGTGTTGCGCTGAAATTAGAGCTATTAGTGTGATTCGTGGCTGCCAATATTTGGAGATCAAAACAGAAAAGAGTATGGACATAAACGTTAGTAAGCAGAGTAACAGCAGCCCACGCCTGGGGGAGGCAGGGCAGGGTCGACAGAGACCCCCTCTGAGGCGCAGGCCTACAGGAAATGCCTAAAGCTGAGGACAGAGCCAGAACATTAACAAAACTTGCCGACTGGGCCCACCCTAAATACAGGGTAATGTTAGAGGAATCTGAAGCTAGCGGTGCACTGTGGCTCATCTCAGCAACGAAAAATCAGAATCTGGTTCCATCCCAGTCTAAACTGACTGAACTCCCGACACTAACAGCACAGGCACGCTGCTCCAGGCATGAATACCATTAACCTCAGTCTCTACTGTCCCACACATGATGTTTGGCATTCAATCAAAAATTATGAAACACCTTACGAAGGCAAGAAAAAATAATCCACTTTATAGAGACAAAGCAAGTGACAAACCAAGCTTGGTGAGGTTAAAACAATCTGAGAATTTAAAGTGACTATGGTTACCACATTCAAAGACCTAGTTAGGGGATAAGGTAGCAAGCATGAAGACAAGGAGGACCTGTGGCAGAGAAACAGAAATTATTAAGTCAAATGAAATACCAGAAATAATTTTTTTAATGTTTATTTATATTTGAGAGAGACAGCGTGAGTGAGGGAGGGGTAGAGAGAGATGGAGACAGAATCTGAAGCAGGCTATGTGCACAGCGCCCGACAAGGGGCTTGAACCCACAAACCATTAGATCATGACCTGAGCCGAAGTCAGATGCTTAACCGACTGAGCCACCCAGGCGACCCTCTAGAAACATATATATTTTTTAAATCAAAGTAACAGAGACGCAGAAAGCCTTCAATAGGCTCAAAAGTAGATTCAATGGAGCTGAGAAAAAAAGAAAAAAAATCAGTGTACTTGAAGATAGGTCTATAAAAATTACCCAAACTGGAACACAAGGAATAAAAAAGCAGTGGGTGGGGTAAAAAAGAATACCTATTTCAAGAGCTATGAGACAATCTCAAAGAGTCTGATGAATGTATAATTGGAACTTCAGAAGAGGCAGAAAAACATTTTAAAAGATAATGAATAAGATATCAGACCATACATCTAAGAAGCTCAGAGAACCTCAAGCAAGATAAATAAGTCCTACTCACCCCTCCAAAAAAAGAAAAGTAAAATCACTCAGATTCTTCATACACAATAAAATATGAACAGATTATCTTAAAGGCAGCCAAAGCGGGGGAAAAGACACATTACATATAGAGGAACAAAGAATTAAAGCAGACTTCTCATCACAAACTGTGCAAACTCTAAAAGCTAATGCAGTGACATCTTTAAAGTGTTGAAAGGAAAAATAGTCAATCCAAATTCTGTAACACAAAGAAAACGTCTTTCAAAACTGAAGAAATAGACTTCCCAACCAACAGAAACCGAGAGACTGCACAACCAGGAGATGTGCACTGTACAAAAAGTTAAACGAAGCCCTTCACACAAAAGGAATATATACCAGACAGAAAGCTGAACCTACAGAGAAATGAAGACCAACAAAAATGACTGAAAGATTAACAGGCATTTTTTTTTTTTATTAGGCAGAAAAAAACAAAAGAGGAATAAGGAACAGATGGGTCAAATGGGATACAACTAACAATGTTACAGATTTTAATGCAACTGTATCTGTAATTATATTGAATCTACATGGTATAAACAGACAAATTAAAACCAGACTGTCAAAGCTTTCTACAGGAAAACCAACTTTAAATATAAAAACATATAGGGTAAAAGATGTACGATGCACACATTACATAAAATAAAGCCAGAGTGACTGTATCAGTATCAGAGGAACAAGACTTAAGAACAAGAATGTGACCAAGGATAAAAAGAAAATTTTTAAATAAAAGGATCAACCAAAAAGAACAATCATAAAATAGGTGTATACCTAAGAATAAGCCTCCAAAATACATAAAGTAAAAACTGGTAGGACTGAAAGGAGAAACAGGCAAACCCATAATTATATTTGGAGGTTTCAAGACTCCTCACCTAGTATTTGACAGACCAAGTAGACACAAAATTAGTAAAATTACAGAAGATCTGAGCAACACTATGAACTGACTTCATTGATTTTTTTTTACCAGAACCACAACAGAATACACATTCTTTTCAAGTACACATTCTTTTTCAAGCAGGCCATATTCTGACCCATATTACCTGCCTACAAAAATTAACTAGAGAAACGGGAACCCTCTTGCACTGTTGGTGGGAATGCAAATTGGTGCAGCCACTCTGGAAAACAGTGGGGAGGTTCCTCAAAAAATTAAAAATAGACCTACCCCATGTGGTAAAAATAGCACTGTAGGAATTTACCCAAGGGATACAGGAGTACTGATGCATAGGTGGCACTTTACCAGTTTATAGCAGCACTCTCAACAATAGCCAAATTATGGAAAGAGCCTAAATGTCCATCAACTGATGAATGGACAAAAAAATTGTCATTTATATACACAATGAAGTACTACATGGCAATGAGAAAGAATGAAATTTGGCCCTTTGTAGCTACATGGATGGAACTGGAGAGTGTGATGCTAAGTGAAATAAGCCATACAGAGAAAGACAGATACCATATGGTTTCACTCTTATGTGGATCCTAGGCAAATATTTCTTAAACACCAACAACAAAGAAATCCATCTTTAACAACATATACAACAAAAGATGAATTTTCTTAAATTTACAGAGAGCTCTTACAATCATTTAGATCAACAAACCAATTAAATATGTAAGTTTCTCAGGAAATGAAGCAGAAATGACTTATAAGCTCTTCCTTTAGGTTCTCTTTCACCTACTCTCCAAACCCCATCCTTTAACCCACACCCGAGTAGTAGCAAAAAGGAATTTCCCACACCCACTTTCCCATCACAGCAGGTCACAAGTCTATGTGTATTACATACACCAAGACTTCTGGAAAGAAGAATTCAGAGTTGTTCCTGTGTTGTTTTTTTAAATTTACAGCAAAAACTTGCATTCAATTTCCAATCAGGCAGTTTTAATAATTAATTTTTGCTCTTAGGAGGATCCATATTCATGCAACCTGATTCATTCCTTAATTCTGATCTTATTAACTGCCCCCCTGCTCCTTGTTTCGACCATGTGATTAATTGCGGTGGCAAAATCCTGGAGAAGGATTGCTTCTGCAAAGGAGAAGGGGTATATACAGAGATAGGACCTGTGATTTTACTTGTTTTACTGAGATTCTCAAAATGGCAAAATCATTCTTCCCAAGGCCAGTTCCACCTGAAGCAGCCAGCTCTCTCAGCAAACCTTTACATGTGCTCAATATTAGTCAATTAAGCAAAACAATATGCTGTTAGGGGAATCTTTCATTATTTTATTAAAGTCCATTCAGAGCCCTTCCTCCAAACAATGTATTACTTGAGTGGCTCACCTCTTCTCCCGAAAGGTAATACGCTGCAAGCAGGCCTCCAATAAATCGAATGTTGACTTCAAACACAGACACCTCTGAATTCTGTGAAAACATATTGAAAATATTCACATACACATTAAAGCTTTATAGTTTCCAAATATTTTCAATTCGTCATAAGTTTCTCACAAACACCCTGTGGAGGATGGTTTTTTCTGCTTTCCACATCTTCATTTCTCACGCAACTGCAATCTCACCTCCCGTTTATTAATGTTACTGAAACTCCCCTATTATTGTCACCATGGCTTCCTATTGGCTGAAACCATTTGTGTGTACCTTACATAGCACTGTGAAATTATCAAGATATTTGATGCTCTTGACTAGTCTCTCCTCAAGAGAGCCTCCACTTCTTGAATTCTGGAATAGCGGTCTGTCTACTGATCCCTTTCCCTCCATTACAGCATACTGCCCATTTTTACTTATATTTCTCATGAATTTTAAGTATTTTTTCCTAGTATGTATAAAAATTTAATAAATGTTAACAGAGGCACCAAAAAATGATAGGATGATGGATTATTCAATTAATAATGTTGAAAAACTGGCTCCTAGGTTAGAAATTTGGATACTCATTTCAGATACATCTCTCTCTCTCTCTCTCAAAACGATATCCAAATAATTTAGAAATAAATGTAGAAAAAATTACAATAAAAAAGTAGAAGAAAATGTGACAACATGAATTTCCTTGACAAAGCAGGTACTTTGTAAGCATAAAACCAACTGTATTGATACCAAACACAAAGACCTGAATTTCCCCAGAATGACAATTACCTAGAAGAAAAAATTATGAACAAAATTCAAAGGCAAACAAAAAACAGAAGGAAATTTGGCACAAATATAGCAGTATTAATAACCTTACCATATAAAGTCTACATGTTTGTATTTAGATACAGACATAGATAAGAAAAATTCTAATTACATGGAAAGAAAAGTAGAAGTGGCAGAGAACATGAGCAAAGAAGTCACACAATACACACAACTGACTAATATAAAGGTAACGTTCATGGGGAGCCTGAGTGGCTCAGTCAACTGTCTGCCTTCTAATTTTGGCTCAGGTCATGATCTCACAGTTCGTGGGTTCAAGCCCAGGGTTGGGCTCTGCACTGACAGGGAGGAGCCTGCTTGGGATTTTCTCTCTCCCTCTCTCCCTGCTCCTCCACTGCTTGTGTGTATGCATGTGCGCGCTCTCTCTCTCTCCCTAAATAAATAATAAAGCTAACATTCATAACTAATTTTTAATAAACATTAAAAGAAAATATATATTATCCCCTAAGGCCTTTCCAACATTTATAGGCAGAACACATAATTTGCTAACACAAGTATATATCTCCAAAATAGAATTTTCACAATGGAATTTTTTAGTAACATATATCTCCTCCCACCCCATCCATAAAAGCAAAATGCTTTACATTACTTCATATATTCCCAATATACAGCATACTGCAGGGCACAGAGCGACAGTCACTAAATACAGAGAAGAAGCAAAAGAGGGAGGGAGGGCAGGCCTCTATAACTCACCAAAACAATAACCTTCTTAAACAGTTTCCCTGATTTCAGCCTTACCTTCCTCCTTATAATCTATTTATTCAGCACCCTGCAGGCAGAGTGAACCTCTTACATTTTAAGTCAGGTCAGGTTACTGTTGTGTACAAACTCTTACAATAACTTCTGGTTACACTCAGAGTAAAATAACTGGTAAGACCCAACATAATCAGATTCCCCACTACCTGTCTGACATCATCTCCTTTCAACATCTCTTGACTTTTATTACCAAATGGTTCTACTGGCTGTTCAAGAATTACCAAACTCAGTCTTTATGCTTTACTTACAGGTCTCCAAACAGGAAGTTTTTCTAACCACACAATATAAAATAATAAAGTACACCTTCATCACTAACATCTCTTAGCCTCCATTATTTCCCCAATTAACACTTATCAACATCTAATTACATATAATTCTATATTTGTAAAATTCAGACCTTCCTTCACAAGAGACACAGAAGAGAGGTTCTAGAGGGAGAGAAGGGAGAGAATGGAAGACAGGCATTATTCAAAGGAGTAATGATTGCAAATCTTCCAGAAGTGAGAAATACATAAGTCTTCAGACTGATGGAACATTACGAGTCCTTTAAAGAATAATCCACACATGGACACATGGTAATGCAATTATAGAATGCAGAAAAATAGAAAAAATGGAAACAAGGGGAAAAAGACAGATTATTTGTGAAATATTAGATTGACAGCATACTTTTCAATAGTATGACAGAAACAGGAAGACAATGGAATTGTACCCTTCAAAGGTTAAGAGAAAATAATCAACCTCCACACAACTATATTCTACACTCAACTATAGTATCTATTATGAGAGAGCCTTATATCCAAATGGCTTCCATTGGGTCTCTCCTCAGAAATGTCACCAAAGAGTCCCTCTCACTAGCTATCCCATGTAAATAGCAACCCCACACCACCACTTACTCCAATCCTACTTGCTCCCCTTTATTGTTCTCCACAGCACTTATCACCACCTGATATATTAGACAGGACTTGAATATTTATTTACTGGTTTTCTCCCAAAACTAGAGTACAAACTCAAGAAGAAGTTTTGCTCATTACTACATTCACATAAGCCAGAAGAGCACCTGTCACAGAGGAGGCATTTAATGAATGAATTATTTATTTATTCCTTCATTTGTCAGTCATCCATCCATTCATTCCTTAATTTGGAAGTTTCAAATACGAGTTGGAACCAGCTAGACAATGATTCCACATAAGACAAGAGGGAGATGAGCTAAATTAAAGCATTCTAAGATCCTTACGGTCTTCAGAAGGAGGATGAAGAAACCGGTTCATTTTAAACTGTGAGAAGTATGCACATGAAATTTTAAGGATAACCCCAAAATGAGTGGAAATGACAAGTAAAATGTCAAAGTAGTAGAGGGAAAAAGAGCCAAGAAGTAATTTAATCCAAAAGAAGGAAAACAGAAAATAAAAACAATGAAAAGTACAATAATAAAACAGGTTGAAAAACACAGATGAAGACCCAACTCCAAATACACGTTATCACAATAAATGTAAATATTCCAAACCTGACAGTTAAAAGACTCCAAGACTGGATAAAAATAACAAAATTCAAATACTAACTACATGCAAAATATACAGCTAAAACACAGGACACAGAAAGGTTAAAAGTACGGGGATGGCAAATGACTGCGCTAATTATTAAGCTCTTTCTCCTCAGGTTCAAATTTATCCTTCTATACTCTACGTTGGTATCCTGGAATTGGAACTGTGTGAACATATGTCTCGTTAGCCAGCTGGCTCCATTATGGGCCATGCCAACAGGAAGTTTTACAAAGATAACGTACAGCTGGAAGAAGGAGAAAGGACTTATTCCTTCCAATTTACCTCCGGTTTTGGACAGTGTCAAATGAGTCATGGTTCTTCACCCTGGCAGTGGCTGTTGGTTCCAGGTTACAGTTTCCCTGCCACACACACTTTCTTTAAATCAGCCTCCCTGTGGCCCTTAGAAATACCAAGCACTAGGTAGGTACCATCTCCTTAGAGGTCCGAGTCCCAGCTCTAAAAAAAAGCCCTCTTAAGAGCTCCTAAAGTACCAGAAACAGAGTTCCAAATTACTCGTTTAATAGTCCCAACTTCTTCCCACTGTTCTCAGAGTCCCAGGGAGGTAGGTGTTTACTATAGCTACTATCTCTTGTGATACCACAATGTTCTCTTTGCCTTTTCAGTTTCCCATTACTTGGTTAACAACTGTAAACATTAAATCCTCTAATTAAAATAAATGGCACAGTTCTGGCTCCTGACTGAGCCAACTGATACAATGATATACCAGCATATTATTAGGCCTTACAAAGCTGCCATGTTAGGGGACAGGAGTATTTGAAACCGTACAGATGCCAATTCTCTCCAAATTAATCTGTAAATTGAATGCAAGACTCATCAAAATGTCAACAGCACCCCAGAGCTTACAGGAACAAAGAGCAGAGAACTGCTAAGATAATTTCCTGGTAGAACAAGATCAGATATCAAACTTCCTATAAAAATATCATAGTTAAGACAGTTAAGTATTGATGTCATAAGCATAAAGAAAAAAGCCAAAAGAAAAGAATAGGCCCCTGTGACCCATGTGGCCATGTATAAACAGCAGGGAAACAAATGGTGCTAGAATAAACTGCTGCCTGTCCAGCTCACCCTACATACAAAATCAATTTTATGTGGATTAAAGACCTAAATGCAAAAGCCCAACTTTAAAAAATTTAGAATGAAACACAAGAATTTATCCTCATGACCTTGGAGTAGGGATTTCTTAAACAAGAAGCACATCCTATAAGGACTACATGGCGGCCAAACAGAGAGAGGAAAAAAAAAAAAAAAAAGACTAAATTTTTCAGCCTCCTTTTGCATCAAGGTTGGGCTGTATGTGTCAGATCTACTCAACAGCATACAAGCAAAATCAGGGTAACCCACTCCTGGAAGGTGTTCTCACAGGAGAGTCATGGATCCTTCCTCTTTTCTACAACTGGAAGGTTGACCCACCTTATCAAGAAGCCATCTCGTACCACGAGGTTGAAGCTACACACTGAGAAAGCAACAAGACAAAGGATCTTAGATCCCTGAGGATCAAGGATCTATCCAAGCCACCCCTAAGCTGCTGGTCTCTGTGCCTAATTTTCATGAAAGAGAAACACATATCTATATTTAAGCTCTTTTATATTAGATTTTCTGCCACTCACGAACTTAAACCCAAGTGGTAACTGATATATGTCCAAAATGCTAGAATCATATAAAAGAAAGTAATCCAGATATGTGTGGTTAGCATCAGGAAAGCATGAGAGAAGAAATAATTATGGATTTAAATCACAATTTGAATGACAAATTGGGTCTGCCAAAGGAAAAAAAAAACAAACAAAAACAACACAGTAAAAGAGTGACTTCTGACTATAGTCAAAAAGAAGAACAATCACAAATGTCATGAAAGGTGATAATGAGTAAAACAAAACAGCCCATATACCTTGTGGGTGAATACTGGTAATAATGAAAACAATTGCTACCATTTACTGAGTACTTAACGTGTATCTGATTATCTCAAATAATCCTTACAATACTGCATTGCGATAGCAATTTTATGACACATTCAGAAAGAATAAGGAATGTTCCCAAGTCACACAACTAGGATGTAGCCGTGCTGGTCTTCAAACTTCAGCCGCATCACTTATCAACTATGCAAAATGCTGGAAGCATGGGCATAGGCCTAGTTATGAAGGCTCATTAAACCTGCACTGAATTATTGAATCTTTTAAAAATAACAAAATGCTTAATTGTTTATAAAGGAGTTTATGCATTCCTGGTATTTCTAGTTCAATGTGGGTTTTTTTTTGTAACTACTGCTTAACACACTGAACACACTGCCTCAAATGATAACATCAAGAAAAGTGAAAGGAAGATGAGAAAGGGTATGTATTTTATGTAAAAGTTAAAGAACCACTCTAATCCCAAAGGAGGACAGGGAATTTATGATTTCCTTAAACTGCTAGTAAAATGCTCAAAACCACTATGTTTATTAGACAGGGTCTTTGCAGAGTTGATCAAAGAAGTCATCAACTGTATACTCACCACACTGAAATCAAGGTTGTGTTCAATCCATTTTTGCCCATCTCGGAATTCATCATGAAGTCCCATGATATAAAGGGTATCCAAAGCATCTACTATGGTAGCACCCATTTGTGAACTTCCTATATTTGGGGTGGGGGGGAAAACTGTCATTAAAAACACGCCCTTCATACAAGGTCTGTTTTAATTTTTTAATATGTAAAAATCGAAGTAGAAATATAAGGACCAAAAAGAATACCCAACATGGTTCACTTTTCCTTAAGAATAAATAATATACATGGGGCGCCTGGGTGGCGCAGTCGGTTAAGCGTCCGACTTCAGCCAGGTCACGATCTCGCGGTCCGTGAGTTCGAGCCCCGCATCAGGCTCTGGGCTGATGGCTCAGAGCCTGGAGCCTGTTTCACATTCTGTGTCTCCCTCTCTCTCTGCCCCTCCCCCGTTCATGCTCTGTCTCTCTCTGTCCCAAGAATAAATAAACGTTGAAAAAAAAAATTTTTTAAAAAAAGAATAAATAATATACACTGTTTAATAGCTATTCCTAAAGATGGCATGTTGACAACTAATAGGAAGGTAAAGGAAACTAAAATTATAGTTCTCCTTCATTTTCTTCCTGGTCACAGTATGAGATCTCTATCTACTTAACAGAGATAAGTTTTTTTTTAAAAAAGGATTAACTCAGGAAATGGGGAGGATGGTTCAAGATGATAAGCTAAGTCATAAGAACCACGTTCTTCTGGTACAAATTCACAGAAGGAGCAAAAAAAAAATACTTAGAAATATTAATAAAAGCACAATAAGACTAAAAGACCACAGTAAAACAGAAACTATAACAATCCTTAACAATGAAAAAGCAGGTTAATCATATTGAAAAAGAAGGTATTAAACAAAATGTAAGTAGAAAAAATTAAAATAGTAAGATCTACCTATCTTCAAGAGAGAGAGAAACCTGATGTTAAAGGAAAACAATTCAGGGAGGAACAAATTCAACAAAACTAGCTGATATCAAAACTAGACACTGTAAACATATGACAAGAAAATAGGTCACTCTTAGTAACAAAACTCCAAAAATCCTGAATACAATCTAAAACAAATCTAATAGCACAGTAAAAAAAAATATAAGTAACAGCAGATGAGTCCTCCTCAATTACTTCTATCTTCTGAGAATGAAAATCATCCACACTCGTTATTATCTGCATTAAAACGGCTTCATTATTATACTGTCTTCATCAACATGAGTTTACTGTTATCCTTGCCAGAAAGATAAAAGGATAAAAGTTGCAAAATTATTTTACTGTTCATTCCAGGAACTTTCTGAAAGACCTGTCAACTCTTCAACATAAAGTACCAAATGATGGCTTATACCCCCAAACTCCTTACCTCCAATTCTCTGCTTATCAATCCAAAACTATTATATTATGGTCCTTACCTAATCATAACCAAGTACCCACCCCTACCCCAACTGAAGGGCCCATCTTAACCCAGACTTAAAATCTCAATAAATATCTCAACTTTGTCCTCTGACAGGTTACTAAGGCTCTGGTTAGGTAGTGATCTACATTCCACAGTTAGCATTAAACTCGGCTGTGTCTTATCGACGAGCTATCTTAATGGTATTTTAGGATTCAGCATTTGTCATTACTTCGTTATTATTCTTTCTTTCCCTCTTTCATTCCTTTTACCAGTGGGTTAACAGCGTTTTCTCCTGATGCTTTAAAGTTATAAAAATTTGTCCTTATAATGTCCTTAACTGACACCACATCTTCTTCATGTGATTCTAATAATTTCTTCAACTTATCAGGAAGTATTATCTTTCCACTAACAAGACAAGTATTCCACCACACTCTGGTAAGTTCCTAGGTCTTCTCCCCATTTAGCTCTCTTTATGTTGACATTAACTAGAATTTTTGTTCTGGGTTATTACATACTTTCCTTTTACTTTTCTTTGTTCCTCAGCATTTTATTAGGATAACAAATATTTTATCAACTCTTCAACATAAAGTACCAAATGATGGCTTATCCCCCCAAACTCCTTACCTCCAATTCTCTGCTTAAGTATGTATCTCTTTATATTAGTATTTCATCCAAAATATTTATAATGCTTATTTTAAATCCTTAAGAGTACCTATTTTTGTTATTTCAATTTTTATAGAGAGTTATGCTTCAGTTCTCTGGCTATTTATGGAGTCCTGGAAGTGCACATTCCTCTAAGGTGCTGACTACTCTGGAAAACAAAGTCCAGACCCACCTGTTCTGTACCAATTCTGGTTAGTTCCACAAGAAGAGGTTTGTGCCATGGGCTAAACAGACCAAGGAAGAGAAAGGCAAAATTGGGAGTTCCTGGCTATTACTACCTAGGATTATTTACCTAGACAACTCAAGATTTCAACTGGAAAAAGTTTTTAAAAATCTAAAACTACCCTTGGGTCAAATAAGAAGTGAAACACAACATTGTAAAACATATAAAACATTAATAAATTTTATTGTGAGAACATAGGATTCAACTAATGAAGCTGTTAGAAAAACTCGTAACTTGAAAATTTTATAGTATTTAATAAGAACAAATGAAAATAATTGAATTCACAACATTCTAAGGAAGAAAAAGAATGATAAACTTGAGCAAAAAGTAAAAGAATCAGAAAAGGCAAAAATTAACAAATTAGAAACAAAGAAAACTGTCAAAAATATAAAACTCAAAAGATAGTTTTATTAAAAGAACTATACAATGACTCTATCACTAAACAAATTCTAAAAAGTAGTCAGGGAATACAAAAGTACAAAATAAAACTGGATTGGGCACCTAGGATGACTTCGGCTCAGGTCATGATCGCACGATTCATGAGTTCGAGCCCCACGTCGGGATCTGTGCGGACAGCTCAGAGCCTGGAACCTGCTTCAGATCCTGTATCTCCCTTTCTCTGCTCCTCCCCCACTTGCGCGCTCGCTCGCGCTCTCTCTCTCTCTCTCTCTCTCAAAAATAAACATTAAAAAAAAAACTGCATCAACACACAGATACTGAGGAAATTAAGTATAAAAAGGCCACTTTAGTTATATTGTACCAATAAATTTGAAAAAAAATGAGTGAAACTGATGATTTTCTAAGAATATATGCATTATATGTTTAATATAAATAGTAATGTGTACTATATAAAAATATGTTTTATATATAATTCTGACTTATGAAATAAACATAAAATCCAAAAAAGCAAAACAGACCAAGAAACAGAGGAAACTGTGAAGTTCTCAAAGAGCTACCCACTATAAAAGTATCACACTCTGGAAGTTCCATAGAATAGATTCTACCCTAATTTTAAGGATAGCAACTCCTACATAAACTTTCATAGAACAAAGGAAAAGAGAGTTTAAATTCAATTTATGGATTCTGCATACCACGGATGCAAAAATCTCAGTAAGAAAAATAAAACTATCTGATCTCATTTGTGAGCATCATGGACATATTTGGGAGTAAAATTGCCAAGCTGTATGGTAATTGACGTTGAACTCTACAGGACAGTGTGCAAGAGCTCTCCAGAGCTACCACTTTATACACGCAGCAACAACGGATGAGAGTTCTAGCTGTTCCACCCTCCTTGTCAGTATTCGGTATTGCTGGTGTTTGTAATTTTACGCGTTCTAATATGAATGTATAGGATGTTATGTTGTGGTCTCAATTTTAATTTCTCTGACAACTGATGTGCTTACTGACTATGCATAAACTTTCTTTGGCATGTAATTATTTATATATTCTAAATACATCCACGTGTGTTTGTGTGTGTGTCACAAACACATTCTCCAAGTTTTGGGGCTTACTTACCTTTTTATTAATGTCTTTCAGAGAGCAGAAATTTTTATGAAGTCCAATTTATCCATTTTTCTCCTTTTGTGGCTTATGCTTTTTGTATTCTAAAGCCTCTTTTCTTACCTCAAAGTCACAAAGATTTTCTCCAATGCTTTCTACTGAAAGTTTTATACTTTTTGCTTTTATGCTTAGATCTATGATCCATTTCAAGTTAATTTTTATGTACAATGAAGAATCAAGGTTTGTGATTTTTCTATATGAGTATGTAGCTGATCCAGCATGATTTATTGGAAAGACTATCCTGTTTAGTCACGGACTTACCTAAGCAACTTTACTGAAAATTAATTAACCACATATAATGTACATGCACTCCGAGTTCTGTTCTTTGCCACTGATCTCTGTGTCTGTCCTTACACTAAAACCATACTGCCTTCATTACTGCAGCTTTACAGTAAATCTTAAAATAAGGTAATATAAATCCTTCAACTTTGTTCTTCCTTTTAAAAAATTATTCTTACTATTGCCCAAGCTTTGCATTTTTATACAGATTCTTAGAGTCAGACTATCAATTTACACAAAAAGTCATTTTGATTGGGCCATCTCAACAATACTGAGTATTCCAATTCATAAACATGGCAACTCTGTCCTTTCAAACTTCTCTCAATAATCACAGTTTTAAGTGTGTGAATTTTACACATATTTTGTTAAATTCACCTACGTGCAGTTCATATTTTTTGATACTACTACAAATGACATTATTTTTAAACTGCATTTTGACTATTTACCAGTATACAGAAATACAATCTATTGGGGCGCCTGGGTGTCTCAGCTGGTTAAGCATCCAGATCTTGATTTTGGCTCAGGTCATGATCTTGCAGTTCACGAGTTTGAACCCCACAGCAGGCTCTAAGCCTGCTTGGGATTCTCTCTCACCCTCTCTCTCTCTGCCCCTACCCCACTTGCACACTCCCTCTCTCAAAATAAATAAACTTAAAAAAAATTTTTTAATATAATTTATTTTCTATATTAAACTTGTATCCTATGACCTTACTAAATTGTATTCAACCTAGGACTTTAGTGTTGTTTTTTAGTAGATTTCTTAAGACTTTCTGCATGAATAATCACGTTGACTACAAGTAAAGACAGTATTACTTCTTCATTTCCAAACTTTATACTTTTGTCTTTTCCTTGCTTTAATGTACTGGTTAGGAGCTCATCTACAAAGTTACACAAAGTGAGAGCGCAGACATCCTTGCCTAATTCATAATCTTAGGGGAAAGTATCTGGTCTTTCAACACGAGGCATGTGGCAAAATTTTTCCATTTG